CAGTTAAATTCCTTCCTCCTAACACCACTCCTCTAATTCAGCCTATGGACCAGAAAATCATAGCGAATTTTAAGAAACTTTATGAAAGGGCACTTTTCCGGAAATGTTTTGAAGTGACTGAAGCCACAAACCTCACCCTCAAAGAGTTCTGGAAACAGCATTTTAACATTTGTAGTGCTTTAAAACTCGTTGACAAAGCCTGGCAAGAAGTGACTCAAAGAACCCTGATCTCTGGCTGGAGAAAATTGTGGCCTGAATGTGTGAGAGAACTAGACTTTGAGGGGTTTGAGCCTATAAATGATGCACCTATTGTTGAGGAAATTGTTAGTCTAGGCCAGCAAATGGGCTTGGAATTGGATGGTGATGATGTGGAGGAGTTGGTGGAAGAACACAACGAAGAACTGACCACCGAAGAACTCCTAGCCCTTCAACAGGAACAGCAAGCCAACGCAGCAGCGGATGATTCTGCAGTGGAGGAGGAGGTGGCAGCAGCGAATGTCCCTTCTGCAGTAATTAAGAAGGTGTGTCAGATGTAGGAAGAGATTCAAACAATTGTTGAAAAGACTCGCCCAGAGAAAGCTGTAGTAGGCCGTTGTCTTAATCTTTTCAATGACAATGTGATGCCTTACTACAGAGAGAGCTTGCGAAGAAGGGAAAAGCAAGCTTCCATGGACAGATTTGTGGTGAGGAAATCGAGCAGTGTGCCTCAACCAGGACCTAGTGGCACTCAGATAAAACGTCCCAGGGAGAGCACACCAGAAAGGTCCTCACTGCCTGATGTGATAATGGAAGGGGACTCCCCTTCCAAACAGTAACTCCTCTCCTCCTCACCCCTCCTCACCATCTTCCATACGCCTACAGCACTCAACAGCAAGGTAAGTAATAACTGGAACATAGTTTTGTAGGTTTATTTAGATGAATTAGGTATAAAAATTTAGTTTGATGTGGAGTTTTTGGGGTAGTCAGGAACGGATTAATTCATTTCCCTTTATTTCTTATGGGGAAATTAGCTTCGGAATACGAGGCGTCTCCAGGAACCAATTAAACTCTTAAACTGAGGTATGCCTGTACCCCGAGCTCTTTTGTCTTCCAGCGATGTGAGGTACAGTTTACACAGCCTTTCCTCATAACTCATGCCTCTTAGTTCTGGGACTAGCCTAGTGGCATACCTCTGAACTTTTTCCAGCTTTGTCTTGTGCTTGATTGCTCTCTTTACTAAAATAAAAATAGTTTAAAAAAAAACAAAAGTTATAATGTCTCCTTTCTGTGACAACTAATGTTTCAACCTAAGATTTAATCCACTATTCTACAGTGCATCCTGTTGAGGGTTAGTGCTTAAAAGAAATCTTGGTTCTTCTCAGTAAATTATAATAAGCACTCTATAAATGATTTCATATAATAATGGTGCTTTTGCCAATCAACATTATACACAATAGTGTTTCCTTTGAAAAACTTAAAGAGAATGAATTGTAAGAACAGCAACAGAAAACGATGTAATGTTGGAATGTCTATGGGATATGGATATATGGTCCACAACAAGTCACACGATGTTTACGGGGTCCACTACCACCCAAAAGGATAGGTATGGGGTCCACTCCCACCTGTTGGATGGGTATGGGGTTCACTACCACCTGTTGGATGGGTATGGGGTCCACTACTGCCCACATGATGGGTATTGGGTTCACTACTGCCCATGTGATGGAGTATAGTGTCCACTACCACCCACTGGATGGGTATGGGGCTCACTACCACCTACTGGATGGGTATAGGACCCATAGGTGTGCGATTTGTCCTGCATAAAAGAATGATAAAAGGCAGAGTAACTGGTATGAATTTCACTTTGCCTCAAGTCTATGAGATTTTGTTGAGGTTCCCGGGAATATTACTGCCCTCAGGCTGCTCAAAGGCAGTCCAAGATGGTAATCAATTACCTCTTTATGAGCAAAGGTTTTGGCTAACTCATCAGTAGCTTTATGATAGAACTAATGAGTGTCATTAGCCTCTCTCCCTTGTCACCATACACTTCATGTTAAATTTTACATGGATAGTGATGGCTATTCACAGAATTACTGCATTGCATATTCCATGTATTTATAATATATTATTATCATCATTATCTATTTATATTTATCATTAAATGGAAAGTTTTTTTCACAGTAAAAAATAGTACCAGAGTTCATGTCATGTGGATTCCATCCCTTGGGAAATAGTGGAACTTATATTCATCCTTTGAGCTTTTGTTGACCCCATACCCCAACCTGCGAGCTGTAGTTGACCCTATACCCCAACCCGTAAACTGCAGTTGACCCCATACCCCAACCTGTGAGCTGTAGTTGACCCCATACCCCAACCCGTGAGCTGTAATTGACCGTATACCCCAACCCGTAAACTGTAGTTGACCCCATACCCCAACCCGTGAGCTGTAGTTGACCCCATACCCCAGTCTGTAAACTGTAGTTGACCCCATACCCCAACCCGTGAGCTGTAGTTGACCCCATACCCCAACCCGTGAGCTGTAGTTGACCCCATACCCCAACCCGTGAGCTGTAGTTGACCCCATACCCCAACCCGTGAGCTGTAGTTGACCCCATACCCCAACCCGTGAGCTGTAGTTGACCCCATACCCCAACCCGTGAGCTGTAGTTGACCCCATACCCCAACCCGTGAACACTAGTTGACCCCATACCCCAACCCGTAAACTGTCGTTGACCCCATACCCCAACCCCTGAGCTGTAGTTGACCCCATACCCAACCCGTGAGCTGTAATTGACCCCATACCCAACCCGTGAGCTGTAGTTGACCCCATACCCCAACCCGTAAACTGTAGTTGACCCCATACCCCAACCTCTGAGCTGTAGTTGCCCCCATTATTTTAATCCAGTGAGTGGCAGTTTGGGTCCCCCTTCCATACCCATCCTGTGACCTGTAGTGGACCCAATACCCATTCTATGGAATTAGTGAACCCAATACCCATCCTGTGGGCATTAGTGGATGCTAAAATCATCCTGTGGGTGGTAATGGAGCCCATACCCATCCCGTGAGTTGTAGTTGACCCTGAGTCCATCCCGTGGGAGGCAGTGGACCCCATACCAATCCTGTAGGAGGCAGTGGACTGCCATACTCATCCCATGGGAGGCAATAGGCTCCCATACCCATCCCATGGGAGGCAGTAAACCCCCACACCCATCCTGTCGGAGGCAGTGGACCTTCCAAACCCATCCCGTGGGAGGCAGTGTACCCTCTATACCCATCCAGTGGGAGGCAGTGGGCCCCCAAACCCATCCCATGGGAGGCAGTGGACCCCTCCATACCCATCCTGTGGGAGGCAGTGGACCCCCATACCCATCCCGTGGGAGTCAGTGGACTGCCATACCCATCCCGTATCAGTAAATGGACACGTACCATACCGCTCCCATTGGCTGTAATGAACCTCATACTTATAGTGTGGGCAGTAGTGGACTCCATACCAATCATGTGAGCAGTAGGGGACCCCATACCCATCCCATATATGTGTAGTGGACCCCCATACCCATACCATGTATGTGTAGTGGACCCCCATACCCCATCCCATGTATGTGTAGTGGACCCATACCCATCCTATGGGTCTTAGTGGACCCCCCATACTTATTCAGTGGGTGGTTGTGGACTTCATACACATCCTGTGGGCAGTAATGGGCCCTGTACAGGTATTAGTGAACATCATACCCATCCTACAGGTGGTAGTGGATCCCATGCCCATCCTGTGGGCGGCAGTGGACCATATACCCATCCTATGGGTGGTAGTGGACCCCATACCCATCCTATGGGTGGTAGTGGACCCCATACCCATCCTGTGGGTGGAAGTGGACCCCATACTTATCCTCTGAGGCAATAATGAACCCCATTCCCATCCTGGGGACAGGTCTGGACCCCATAGTCATACTGTGGGCAGTAGTGGGCCCCATACCCATCCTACAGTTAGTAGTAGACCGCATACCCATCCTACAGTTAGTAGTGGACCCCATACCCATCCTATTTTGGTAGTAGACTCCCATACCCATCCTATATTGGTAGTGGACCCCATATCAATTCTACAGGTGATAATGGACCCCATACCACCTTAAAAATTTGAATTTTTAAGGTGGTATGGGGTCCATGTACCAAGGTGGGGGAAAAAATTTGGATTAAGGATTTGCACAAAATGCTATGCATGCTAGTGGATGTACAAGAACGTAAGAACTCTTGTATATACAATATAAAAATATATATACAGTAATATATATATATATATATATATATATATATATATATATATATATATATATATATATATATATAATATATATATATAATATATATATAATATATATATATAATATATATATATATGTCGTACCTAGTAGCCAGAACTCACTTCTCAGCCTACTATGCAAGGCCCAATTTGCCTAATAAGCCAAGTTTTCTTGAAATAATTGTTTTTCGACTACCTAACCTACCTAACCTAACCTAACTTAACTTTTTCGGCTACCTAACCTAACCTAAACTATAAAGATAGGTTAGGTTAGGTTAGGTAGGGTTGGTTAGGTTCGGTCTTATATCTACGTTAACATTTACAACATCTACACATCTACATTTTAACTCCAATAAAAAAAAATTGACCTCATACATAATGAAATGGGTAGCTTTATCATTTCATAATAAAAAAATTAGAGAAAATATATTAATTCAGGAAAACTTGGCTTATTAGGCAAATCGGGCCTTGCATAGTAGGCCAAGAAGTGCATTCTGGCTACTAGGTACGACATATATATATATATATATATATATATATATATATATATATATATATATATATATATATATATATATATATATATATATATATATATATATATATATATATATATCCATCCTGTTTGCAGTAGTATACCCCATAGACACATCACATCATTTTCTGTTACTTTCCTAAAATTCATTCTCTTTACATTTTTGAAAAAAAACACTATTGTATATAATGTTGTTTGAAGAAAGCACCATTATTATATGTAAAAATTTATAGAGTGCTTATTATAATTTACTGAGAAACGCCAAGATTTCTCCTAAATGCCAACCTTCAACAGGATGCACTGTAGAATAGTGGTTTAAATCTTGGGTTGAAACATTAGTTGACACAGAAAGGAGACATTATAACTTTTTTTTAACTATTTCCATTTTAGTAAAGAGCATTCAGCTGTCAACAGTTCTTCTTCGCTGTCCATCATCACCATCAGTTCAGTCCATCGTCGCTGACGACTTCACTAAAATCTTTATTATTCAGCCTTAAAATCATCCAAAATACTAAAACAAGGAGCCATAGGTGGTAGCTATGTATACCAAAGGTGACCTATAAATCTTAATTATTTAACTGTCTCAAATCAACTAGATTTTCTTGATTTTCTCAGAATATTGCTGCCCTCAGGCTGCTCAGAGGCAATCAAAGATGGTAATCAATTCTTTTCTTGTGAGCAAATTATTTGGCTACATTTGGAACACTCTGTGCTCAGTCCCACAAGGTCTCCGTGCCATCCTCTGTACTCTGTATTCCACAAAGTCAAATTACTGACCATTCCCAGGATGCATGAACTGTATACTAAATTTATCCGTTTTATATGTACAATACACACATGCCAAAACATGGAGATGGATTCACATCAATCACCATGCCCAGTGAGTTCGTTCCAGTCCTCCTTGATGAGGTCGGCAGCCTTCTCTGCAATCATGAGTGTGGCAGCATTGGTGTTGCCCGACACAACAACAGGCATGATTGAGGCATCCACTACCCGCAGCCCGGACACCCCTCGCACCCTGGTGTTATACAGATCATATATCTTAATCCAAGCATTCCTCAATATCAGACCCCCCTTATAACGTTGTTAACACTGCCTTAGAATTACGAGTGACTGAATGAGCATGTGGTTGATAGACTAAGGTAGCTGGCTGAGTGAAAGAAAATTCATGGATTAAGTATGCCATTTATTAAATTAATCATTGAGTAACTGGCATAATTATTGACAGACTTAATGGTAGTGTCTAATTCTATGACTCTATGACATTCTATGACTTAAATAAGGTGCCATTTTCCTCACCTGAGCCTGTAATCGACAACAGCAAGAGGGTCAGATGAGGGTCCCATTTTGCAAGTGCTGGTCGGATGCCAGAAGGAGGAGGCCATATGCTGCACATAACATCCCCAGTACCTATACGACCCAAATTTTTCTCCTTCACATCCTGGCACTGGCTGAGAGAGAACCATTGCCATTAATAACATCACCCTTGCTCTTTAACAACACATTATGCAGTCTGCAAATTGCTATAACTTCATTAAGTACACAAATAGCAACAACTGTTCACAAAGCTCACCATGTCATGAAATTTCGCCTTGAATCGTGATCTGAAAGCCGTGGTATTACCCAGAGCCATCAACTGCTTGATACCTGACAAATGCAGGAACAGTATGTTTATATATATATATGGCAACACAAATGTAGGAACAATATGTTTATATATGGCAACACACATGCACCATCAATCACCCATTTATCATAAGTGATAACTGCCTCTTTCTAAGTTACTAGCCTAATATATATATAATTAACTGATGTTATCACGTATCAACAAAACTTACCTTTGTCAATGAAATCCTACACTCTAATTGTCTATTTCCCATTAATTTAAACCAGCATATGTTATAAAATCATTTAAACAAATAATACTGTGTAGACAATACTTTTTTTTTGGGTGGATTGGGTGGAATATATAAAGTTGGGTGGATTTTTGGAATATGAAGGATATTTTCACATTCATTAGTCTCTTAACATTCAATATCTACTCTTGCTGAAAATGTGATACTGTAACATGAGTGGAGGTATCGGGATTTAAATCACGTTAACTTCCCGGTAGTATCCCCTGATAAAAGAGTCCTTGTAGTACAGTCCTTTTCGTTGTCAACATGCAATCGATAATTCCGGGTACGAATCCCAGGTGGGACAGAAATGGTTGGGCACATTTCTTTTCACCTAATGCACTGTTCACCTAATAGTAAGTGACTCGGGAGTTAGTCAGCTTGTTGTGGGGGTTGCATCCAGGGCGGGGTCAGTAATTTGACCTTGAGGGGGACCTCGATGAAAGCCTAATGTGTATGAATACACTGACTTCCTGTCCCTCAACACAATGAACTAACCCATACAAAATTTCACTGCTAATGTATTACATCTCCAGAGCATGACATGTATGGTCTTCTGCTAAGACTTGCAACTGCTGGAATGAAATTAAGCCATTTTACTGAACCCAGTTTATTACAAATGTGATGCATGTGTTGTCGAGGAAGTCCATTGTATTAAACCCAAACCTAAGCAACTAATCAATTAATGATCTTATTATTCAAACAATAAAATGAACTGTATCCCTAGAGTAAAGTGATCCTATCCAAGGAAACAATGCCTAGTTTTAATTAAAAGTTGTATGAAAAATATTATCACATTTCAAAAAACCAGCTTTGAATGTAATGAAAGATAATTTTCTGTGCGAGACCCGGAGGCTCCCCGGGGCTATCCGGACTGATATGAATGTATTAGACCCTGGCATCAATCAAAGCGAATAGAGTTCTAGGCTTACCGAGGACCATGAGCCAGAACCTGACCCCCCCACAGAGAGGCACAAGGAGCAATATAGACACCCCATGGGGTTGGAAGCATCTATGTCTGCCATTGACCGAGTCAGGCACCCAGAAAGGTAGGAGGCCCAAAACAAACCCTATCTGGTTAAAATATTGCTACTGAAAGCTGAAAACATTTCTGTTTGACAGAACTCCCCCAAATGAAAATGAGCATTGTTCTTTAATTTATGGTACTTGAACTTAAGGGAAGATGCTGGTAAAATATCCTGTCTTAGATCCCGAATTTATCAGAAATACAAATTCACAAACTTAAAATTATAAGATGGTAGAGAAAAACTAACCATTGACGAGGGTCTTGAGGTCTTGTGGGTGATCGAGGTAGTTGGGGTCAATGAGGGGAAGGTCATTGGGGTGTTTGGACCTGAGAAAGATGCCCCCACGGCTCTTGGGTCTCATCAGGTACATGATGATCGTGAAGCCTTGTTTTCCGGACAATGGACGGGCATACTCCATATATTTCTAGATACACCAAACATTATATGTACATTACATCACCAGTCAAAATTATTATACAACAGCTGTTATCTACATCTATACAAGAAAATGTCTTTATATGTCTGTTCAAGGATGAAGGCCAGATGCTTGGAGCTAGCTTCACCCAACTTTCCAAGATAACACATAGGTGGTATGTGACTGTCAAGGCTAATCGGGGTCAGCCACATTGCATCCCTTTAAGAAATATTAGCTTCTACAGTGACCACCCTTCATGCAGCTATTTCAGTAAAGAAAAAATCATATATTTTTCCCATAGCTTTTTTCTGCTGTTTGTTGAACTGTATTATATACTGTATATATATTATATACTGTATATATATTATATATATATACATATACATATACATACATATATACATATATATATATATATATATATATATATATATATATATATATATATATATATATATATATATATATATATATATATATATATATATATATATATATATATATATATATATATATATATATACACATATTATATATATAAGAGAGAGAGAGAAAGATTGAGTGTGTGAGGTGTGTATGCTGTGTGTATGTGTGTACCTAAGTGTAGTTACAGGATGAGAGCTATGCTCGTGGTGTCCCGTCTTCCCAGCACTCTTTGTCATATAACACTTTGAAACTACCAACGGTCTTGGCCTCCACCACCTTCTCACCTAACTTGTTCCAACCGTCTACCACTCTGTTTGCGAAAGTGAATTTTCTTATATTTCTTCGGCATCTGTGTTTAGCTAGTTTAAATCTATGACCTCTTGTTCTTGAAGTTCCAGGTCTCAGGAAATCTTTCCTATCGATTTTATCAATTCCTGTTACTATTTTGTATGTAGTGATCATATCACCTTTTTCTTCTGTCTTCTAGTTTTGGCATATTTAATGCCTCTAACCTCTCCTCGTAGCTCTTGCCCTTCAGTTCTGGGAGCCACTTAGTAGCATGTCTCTGCACCTTTTCCAGTTTGTTGATGTGCTTCTTAAGATATGGGCACCACACAACCGCTGCATATTCGAGCTTTGGCCTAACAAAAGTCGTGAACAATTTCTTTAGTATTTCGCCATCCATGCATTTAAAAGCAATTCTGAAGCTAGAAAGCGTGACATAGGCTCCTCGCACAACGTTCTTTATGTGGTCCTCAGGTGATAGAAAACTATCTAGAACCATCCCTAGATCTCTTTCTTTATCTGAATTCTTTAAAGATTTCTCACATAATTTATAGGTTGTGTGGGGTCTATGTTCTCCTATTCCACATTCCATAACATGGCATTTATTAACATTAAATTCCATTTGCCAAGTGGTGCTCCATATACTTATTTTGTCCAGGTCTTCTTGAAGGGCGTGTGCGTGCGTGTGTGTATGTGTGTGTGTGATGAAGGCAGACAGGAAAAGGAGGGGTTTCTGGAGAGGGAGACAAGAGACAAGGGGTTTCTGAAGAGGGAGACGAGGAAAGGCAAGTGGCATGTTTTAACAGGGAAATGAGGGTGATGTGTGGAGATTGGGGGGGGGGGAGACAGGGAGGGAGGGTGGTGTGTGGAAATGGGGGTAAGAGGGTGATGTGTGAAGACAGGGAGGGGGAGGGAGAGGGAGGTGCATGGATACAGGGGGGGAGAGAGAGGTGCATGGAGATAGGGAGAAGAGGGAGGGGCATGGAAACCGGGAAAAGAGGGTAACCCATCTAGAATATATATCTATAAATAAAATAAAACTTTCTTACCGTTTTTTGGAAGTTATAAATATGAGGAATGAAGAATCCCAAATCCATGTTAAAGACAGCAGGGGAGAGGTAGAGCTGGACATCAGGGTAGTAAGGATCACCACCTTCCGTCACCTTCAGAAAGGCACTGGCATATTCACCCAACGGCTTTGTCCACGGACCTGACAAGAGTAAGACATCAATTCACTCTTTAAATTTAAATTTATCAGGACTTACCTGCCCTCCCACCACAACTCCACCCCCAAGTGATATTAAAGTGACAGCACACTAATACAGTACATTACAAAGAAATAAAGAAATATATAAGCAGGAAGCCTTCAATATTATAAACAAATGCTGAAAACCAACATTATGCACACACATGTATAACTAAAACCAGTTTCATACACACACAAATGAGTATAACCAAACCCAGCTTCATGCACATGAGTATACAGTACTGTACTAACAAAAACTAGTTCCATATGCATATACGAGTATAGCCAAAACCAGCTTCATACACACATACAGTATAGCCAAAACCAGCTTCATGTATACATACCTAAATACCCAAAACTGCAGCTTCATGCACTACGTACATAAATAACCAAATTAACATGTTGTTAATTAAAACTTGTGTTTATAGCAGGGGAAAGTAGTCATCATTATAACAATCTATGATTTTCCCCTTGCATTATCAGAAATGGGAAGCTTATAAGTTTAGACTTAGCAAGGTCAAGCCTAAACCAACAACTGACCTTACCCTAGGATGAAATTCACAACCTGTCTTCTAGAATATTATCTTGTCTCGTTTAGTTTTAAGTATTAAACTATTAAACTTTTAAATTATGCTCCTAATTATATTTACATTATGCCCAAAATGCTCTGTGTATTAGTGGACATGACGTGTGTACTTTTCTTGCCTACAAATTTTGCGTTGTTCATTTATCATATGTATGTACCCTTGCATAAATCAAAATAATAATTATTATTATTATTATTATTATATCTCTGGTACTATCACATTTACAGAAGGCAAACTGTGATTGATAAGTATTAAGTTATGAATAACACACAACTTTAACCATGCATTTGAAAAATTAAACTAGTGACCCTATCAGTCTAAAGTCTCTAACTGTCCTACTGAGTTTTCCAGGTTGTTTACAAACCTTTCCAGTGGTGGTGGATTGGTACAAAGCTTTCCAGTGGTGGTGGATTGGTACAAAGCTTTCCAGTGGTGGTGGATTGGTACAAAACTTTCCTGTGGTGGTGGATTGGTACAAACCTTTCCTGTGGTGGAAGATTGGTACAAACCTTTCCTGTGGTGGAAGATTGGTACGAACCTTTCCTGTGGTGGTAGATTGGTACAAACCTTTCCTGTGGTGGCAGACTGGTACAAACCTTTCCTGTGGTGGTAGATTGGTACAAACCTTTCCTGTGGTGTTAGACTGGTACAAACCTTTCCTGTGGTGGTAGAGTGGTACAAACCTTTCCTGTGGTGGTCTATTGGTACAAATCTTTCCTGTGAAGGTCTATTAGTACGAATCTTTCCTGTGGTGGTCTATTGGTACGAATCTTTCCTGTGGTGGTCTATTGGTACGAACCTTTCCTGTGGTGGTAGATTGGTACGAACCTTTCTTGTGGTGGTAGATTGGTACAAACCTTTCCTGTACTCACCTAATTGTGCTTGCGGGGGTTGAGCTTTGGCTCTTTGGTCCTACCTCTCAACTGTCAATCAACTGGTGTACAGATTCCTGAGCCTACTGGGCTCTATCATATCTACATTTGAAACTGTGTATGGAGTCAGCCTCCACCACATCACTTCCTAGTGCATTCCATTTATTAACTACTCTGACACTGAAAAAATTCTTTCTAACATCTCTGTGACTCATCTGGGTACTAAGTTTCCACCTGTGTCTCCTTGTTCGTGTCCCACCCGTGCTGAAGAGTTTGTCTTTGTCCACCTTGTCAATTCCCCTGAGAATTTTGTAGGTGGTTATCATGTCTCCCCTTACTCTTCTGTTTTCCAGGGATGTGAGGTTCAGCTCCTTTAGCCTTTCCTCGTAGCTCATTCCTCTCAGTTCCGGGAATGGTGTGGTAGATTGCTAGATTGTTCGATTGTTAGATTAATTGGTAGATTGTTCCTGTGGTGATAGATTGGTACAAACCTTTCCTGTGGTGGTAGATGGGTACAAACCTTTCCTGTGGTGGTCTATTGGTACGAATCTTTCCTGTGGTAGTCTATTGGTACGAATCTTTCCAGTGGTGGTAGTGTGGTACGAACCTTTCCTGTGGTGGTGGTGGATCGGTACAAACCTTTCCTGTGGTGGTAGTGTGGTACGAACCTTTCCTGTGGTGGATATACTGCGAGAAAGCCTGCAAGGAGAAGGCGTTGTCCATGGTGGGAGAAGTACTCTGGGTGGTCCAGGTGAGCCCGTACACCCCCAGGTGGTCCTGCAGGTTCTGGCCCACACCTGCCACATCTGCCACCACCTTCACCTGCCTCGCACACAATATTATGCACAAAGGTATATGGTCTAGTTATCGACTAGAAATAATATATAAAGCACTCCACTAGCAGACAAACTAAAAACAATGCATACAAAAATATAAATATAAGGAAGACATTCTTACAAAAATTCTAAATTTGCTTGAAATCCACTTAACATTGACATTTCTAGAAAAGAAATACACAAAATACATCACTGCATTAATTTAATAATTTTGTCAATTTTTTCCTATAAAAATTGGAATATTGTTATTGAAATTAAAGTAGCGAGAAACCCCGTCTCAAGTTCTTATTTCCACCATATGTCATCCACTACATATCTGAAATAAATACAGTATTAATTTTCAGACAGAGACTCACGTTTTATAAACAAAATTTACCACCTTTACGAGTAGCACTAGTTTAAAATAAATGTGCATTCTAAACAATTAATTTTGTTTTCGATAATTCTTCATTATAGTCATAATAATATTAAAATATACAATAGTATATCTCACTAAAACAAATACAGTTCTGCCCGAAACGCTTTGCGTAACAGTGGCTTTAGGCATTGTATGTACTAGCTCTATCTATTAATCCAACAAACTTTGTAAAATCTCTTGTATGTATGTACCTTACCTAAATAAACATTTATTTATTATTTATTTATAACAGGGTGCCCCCAAAAAATGTACACACAATTTAAAAGCTAATACTGTACCTCAAGAGATGTTTCCTATCAGATTTAACCCTCTGGGATTAATACTGGCAGCCAGACTAAGCTTCAAACAAAGGAAATTTACTCTAAAATGCTTAAGGAAATTTGAAAACTCAGTTGAAGTTCAAAGACAGTTTAGGAGTGAGTTTCAAACAGATCCACCTACATGACTTACCATCGCTCAAATTAGAGGTAAGTTTGAAGTCGATAAAACTATTCATGTTTATGTAACATGTATTCATGTTAGTGTTCAAGTATGGGTGCTGAGAATAGCATTAGTTTGGGTTGCTGGGTGGCTTGTTTCAATGAACGGGTTCTGTGAGTGAGTGGATTGTTTGAATGTGTAGGTACTGGGAGTGGATGGTGGATGTGTGGTTTGCATATGGTGCGAGTGATGGGTGGGCAATGTGCATGGGCAGCTGGGCAAATGTTGGTCGATGCACTGTGCACCAAGTAAACATAATAACTATGGCAGAACTAAGTAATAACAAGAATTTTAATAACTTCAAGACTTACGCCATGTTGTTGAAGGTGGTAACTGGCTCCTATGCCTGACAGCAGCAACACCTTGGGGGACGCCAGTGCCCCAGCTGACACTATCACCTCTCGCTCTGCTCGAGCTTCCACCACCTAAAATATGAAGACATTATTTACTTGCTTCAGAAGTATTCAACCTAATCTCTGTGAGCATCTTTTAAATAATGTTATCAAAAAATGTTATGACTTCCCATTGTCAGGGACACTAAAGCCTCTTAACCTCCCCATCAATGACTGACCTTTCTAAGAATGCAACCATCAACAGTTGACCAACTCTCTGGAACCTATTTACTAGGTGAACAAAGACATTGGGCAAGAGAAAATACGACAATGTCTCACTCTGCCTGGGAATCGAACCCAGGACCAATCAGTTGTGAGCCAATTGTGCTGAGTATATAGTAATATATAGGAGGCCTGATCGAGGACCGGGCCACAGGGGATATTGAGTCCAGAAATCATAGCAAGGTATATATGCCTGGAGAAGCCAAACACATTGGCCATATCTGAAAATAAATACATGGATCATTATGTTTAAGATTTCTATGTCTTCAGGTGTCCTAAACATGAACCACCGTCTGAAAATGCCATAGTCGTGTACCACTATTTCAGAGGAGGTCATATACTTCAGCCAATATGAATGAAAAGGCCATAATTATGATCCAATGTTTGTAAAGATGTTTTGAACATGAATAAATGTGCTGGAACCTAAGTAGACTCGCTTGGACTGTGGTAGTATATCTTCAACCAAACAACTTACCAGAATTGATATAAGATTCAATATACATATGATTCAATATCACCCGAGCCACAGTGGACTCGCCCCAGCCGCAATGGACTCACCCCCAGCTGCAATGGACTTGCCCCAGCCGTAATGGACTCGCCCCAGCTGTAATTTGACTCACCCGAGTTGTAACTGACTCACCTTGCCTCTATAGGTGTACACAACACCAGTCGCCTTTTTCTTCTTGTTGAACTGAACCTGTGGACAGAGTGATCATGATGTGCTTAGAACCAAGAACTATACGTACGAACATTATAAAACATCTACTAGACCATGAGACATTGTATTTGCCCAAATTAGGCTGGGATACCATTACTTATGGCAGGTAACTGCGTATAATTAATCTCCCAATAGTTCACCCATAGCCGGGTCACAGCTGCCCACTGGCCACACATCCATTACAACCTGGTTAGTCTGGCAAACTACCTGCAAGAATTTGTTTAATTATCTCTTGAACATCACCACTTGTGTTTGAGCACTTCAACCGTAAACACTTTGAGCAAGAGCTAGGGTACTTTTGAACACTGTATGGTTGAATGCTCTATTCTCAATGATTTTACACCAAATGGAATGACATACTTTGACTAACAATTTCTTCCTTCATGGATATTGGAAGATAGTCTCAAACACAGCCCAAAAGTTTGCAAGTACAAGCTAGTATATGAGACTTGCATTCCCATGGTTTTCTTCGATTCTATGCATGAATAAACATCCTATAAGATGGGGATATTAGATGAACTTACAGATAGCACTTGATATTATATATACTCTGCAATTACTCATATAGAACATGGTAGCAACACACAAACACACACTCTCTGCCGTATTTAAGTGGTTGGCAAGTGTCTTTCACTCTGTCCTCACATCCCTTAAAAGTGCTACATAGTTATATTGTCTAAGCAATTTTTCTATGCTAATTAACTTACAAGTGACTAGAGTCATACCTTGAGGACAGTGGCACTGTGCAGGATGTGGAGGTTGGGGCGGGAGGCTGCTGGCAGGAGGTAGGCCCAGGCTGTGGAGCATCTAATCCCATCACACACTGTGTAATCAGGCTTGGCAAACCCTGCAACATTACAGTTGAACTCTATATTCATAATATTTAGATCATGTAAGGATTCACTATTAATAAGGATCTGGAATTACTATATACAAGTCTCTGATATTGAGATATTTTTGAGATATATACAAGAGTTGTTACATTCTTGTAACAACTCTTCAGATATGGCTGGCCATCTTGTGTAGCAGTAAATTTAGGACTGCTAAAGCTGTGCCGAGTGTTTATATACACATAATCATCAGGAATCTGTACATCGATTAATTGACAGTTAAGAGGCGGGACCAAAGAGCTGATGTTGACCAGACCACACACTAGAAATTGAAGGGACGACGACGTTTCGGTCCGTCCTGGACCATTCTCAAGTCGATTGTGATGAGGACAGGTAGGGACAGGCATTAAATAGGCAAGAGGGAGCTGAGGAGGAAAGTCAGGTGTAGGGGATAGTAGTAATGAGAACTGCAGCAGGCCTATTGGCCCATACGAGGCAGCTCCTATTATAACCACCGAAGGAGATAGTAATAGGAATAAGAAGAGGATAGCAAGGGAGCGTAGAAGACAAAGAACAGAAAAAGGGAGAAGAGAGAAAGAAAGGGAAAGAGAAAGAAAGAAATGGAAGGGGGAAAGCTTATGTTAAGTCACGTTTGTTAGAAAGATTAGAGCATTTGAGTATATACTGTGAAAGGGAAGAGTCCACAGCAACAAAGCCAGGACTCAAGTTCATGTTGGGTACATTGTTAATAAGAGCCGATTCTACAAGACGGCATCTGTGTAGAGTAGAGGCAGGAAAGATTATAATCTATAAAGATTATAAAGATTATAAAGATTATAATCTTTCCTGCCTCTACTCTACACAGACGCCGTCTTGTAGAATCGGCTCTTATTAACAATGTACCCAACATGAACTTGAGTCCTGGCTTTGTTGCTGTGGACTCTTCCCTTTCACAGTATATACTCAAATGCTCTAATCTTTCTAACAAACGTGACTTAACATAAGCTTTCCCCCTTCCATTTCTTTCTTTCTCTTTCCCTTTCTTTCTCTCTTCTCCCTTTTTCTGTTCTTTGTCTTCTACGCTCCCTTGCTATCCTCCTCTTATTCCTATTACTATCTCCTTCGGTGGTTATAATAGGAGCTGCCTCGTATGGGCCAATAGGCCTGCTGCAGTTCTCATTACTACTATCCCCTACACCTGACTTTCCTCCTCAGCTCCCTCTTGCCTATTTAATGCCTGTCCCTACCTGTCCTCATCACAATCGACTTGAGAATGGTCCAGGACGGACCGAAACGTCGTCGTCCCTTCAATTTCTAGTGTGTGGTCTGGTCAACATACTTCAGCCACGTTATTGTGACTCATCGCCTGCAAAGAGCTGATCCTCAACCCCAGCAAGCACAACTAGGCGAGTACATGTCCAGGGAAGTAAATTAAACAAAATTAATAAAAATAAATAGATGTCCATAGCAGGACCTAAACCCATTGTCAATTTTGATGTTATATGCATGACATTGTTACATTATTTTGTTTAAATTGAGGTAACTTCTGATAAAAATTTCAAGTTTAATATTCATTAATATAACAGTAACATTATATTCTATTTGTATTTTTATGTATTATATGTAGTCTCTGGTAGGTTTATTGATGGCATAGATAATTATCCGGAGCTTATACAATGTACATAATACTTTAACTAGTATGATTTTCTTTATAAACAATTACTGTATTATCATTAAAGAAATAGAATAATGTTTTAGACATATTATTATGTCTAAAACTCAACATCTCGTTTTAGGCATAATTTTTGTATCTTTAATTTGTCGTATATAAATATTTATAGCTAAAAAACATCTTTTAGAGTGAAAAATTAAATCTTATTTAACATTAAAACAATGATTTAAATAATTAGATAAACAATACATAATATTTATATACATTTTACCTACTCCTGGAGCTGTACTCCAGGAATCTGGATATGGCATCCAAATGTTTGTACACTATATGAATACAGTATTTGAATATTTTCTATTGTATATTATGACCTATATGGATGTAAGAGGTAAGGAAAGTAGATGTGGGATGAGAATGAGAAATGGGAGAGTGGAGGGCAAGAGAAATGGAATTATAAACAAGAGCCAATTCAGAAAGTAGAGTATGTAAGATCAACTCCCTCAAAACTTGATATGGAAAATGAAAGGCAATGACATCTTGTATACAAGTCAAATTCTCCTGCACTACCCAACCTGCACACACATATAACGATGTAATATAAGATTAAACGATGTAATATCAGACAGTCTGTATGGTTTTCGATCTGGAAGATCCAGTGTAATGAATTTACTCAGTTTCTATGATCGAGCCACAGAGATTTTACAGGAAAGATGGGTTGGCTGCATCTATCTGGACCTAAAAAAAAGGCTTTCGACAGAGTTCCACATAAGAGGTAGTTCAGAAAACTGGAACATATTGGAGGGATGACATGTAAGCTTCTAACATGGATGAAAATTTTTCTGATAGAAAAATGCGGGCAGTAAGCAGAGGCAATGAATCGGACTGGAGAAATGTCACAAGTGGAGTACCACAGGGTTCAGTTCTTGCACTGGTAATGTTCATTGTCTACATAAACGATCTACCCGATGGAATACAGAATTATAAGAACATGTTTGCTGATGATGCTAAAATAATACGAAGGATAAGAAACTTAGATGATTGTCATGCCCTTAAAAAAGACCTGGACAAAATAAGTATATGGAGCACCACTTGGCAAATGGAATTTAATGTGAATAAATGCCATGTTATGGAATGTGGAATAGGAGAACATAGATCCTACACAACCTATAAATTATGTGAGAAATCTTTAAAGAATTCTGAAAAAGAAAAATCTAGGGGGCAGTTCTAGATAGAAAACTATCACCTGAGGACCACATAAAGAACATTGTGCAAGGAGCCTATGCTATACTTTCTAACTTCAGAATTGCTTTTAAATACATGGATGGCAAAATACTAAAGAAATTGTTTACAACTTTTGTTAGACCAAAGCTGGAATATGTAGCGGTTGTATGGTGCCCATTTCTTAAAAAGCACATCAACAAACTGGAAAATGTGGAAAGACATGACACTAAGTGACTCCCAGAACCGAAGGACAAGAGCTACGAGGAGAAGTTAGAGGCATTAAATATGCAAAAACTAGAAGATAAAAGAAAAAGAGGCCATCACTATGCACAAAATATTAACAGGAATCAATAAAATTGATAGGGAAGAATTCCTCAGACCTGGAACTTCAAGAACAAGAGATCATAGATTTAAACTAACTAAATAAAGCTGCCAAAGAAATATAAGATAATTCATTTTTGCAAACAGAGTGGTAGACGGTTGGAACAAGTTAGGTGAGAAGGTGGTGGAGGCCAAATCCATCAGTAATTTCAAAGCATTATATGATAAAGAGTGCTGGGAAGATGGGACACCACGAGCATAGCTCTCATCCTGTAACTACACTTAGGTAATTACACATGAAAGAACCCGGTATTGAAGGTGTTGGTTCCTTACCCATTTGCTCCTCTGCGTTGGGGTCGATGGTGTCGAAGCCAAGCTGCTTGCCAGCATCGAGGAAAGCCTGAGTCAGCTTACCTGGCTTGGTGTCTGGGGTGATAGCAATGGGTCCTCCTCTACCATGGAATCTGGCTAGGTAAATAATGTTTTTGATAAATTTATTGTTCTTGCATACATACACTTATATTGACACCATCGCCTTACATAAAGGTAGAATTATATACAGGATTTTTTAACATAGACAGTTTCCTAATTGTTAAAAGTGTTTACATATAAAAATATATTCAAACCTACAAAATAAAAAATTCAAAATCACCCTTTGGTATGTTGTGATCGTGTTTAATTACAAAATATCCTAACATTTTAGAAGGTAAATTTCACACAAGTGAGACTGCCACAATGACAAAACAGTTTTGGTGCACACTTCTTTCCTCCCTCTCTCATCTAACAATGTTTTTTAATTGTTTACTTTTCACTATCTTAAGTTAAAAGGTAAAAATACATTGCTAATTTAATCAGTTGCATCATGCACACCGACTCATCTGTATGTAGTGTTGTATGGTTAAGAGGTAAAAACACATACATGCACTAAATTAGCTGAATGAGGAGTATCAGATACAAGTCGCACCATACACAAGATGATTCGCCAATGGATTTTGAAACCTACCCAACTTACCCTAGCTCAATCTAACCTAACCCAACCGAGCAAAATACAGCCTGACCTAAAAAAAAAATTAGCAACATATACGGTTTTAACAAACAGAAAACGAGCTTTGTCGAATCATCTCGTGTCTGAAACAACCGTACCCCGGAACACCTACTCACCTGTATGTGGTGTCATATAGCCTCGATAGTCCTCAAATTTTTTGAAATAATAGAGAACACTCTCATAGTCCCAGCCAGGGTTGCCAAGATCAGCCCAATGGTCGAAGTCGCGTCTATTGCCCCTCACGTAGACCATGCCATTAGTCGTGGAGCCCCCACCCACCACACGAGCATGGGGAATAGTGGCTCGCTGGGCACAAGGTATAAATATCAGTTATTGGACCATATTTGGAATTTAATTTGGTACCATAAGCTTTATGGTCAAATTGTTCATAAACATAACTGCAAATTCATAGAGGTTAACAAAATTATATGTTTTTGAGTAGTAATGTGTGACAATAAAAGTTGGACTGTTTTCTCAAGAAAAGAACGATACAATTAACAAAACATTATCAATAATGATGATTTTAGAAAACATTGAAGGGTTCAGAACAAACTTTCACATTTAACACACTAAAAGTGGCAACCAGTTACAAGTCTCAAGCAGCTACAAGTCCCCAAGAAACTCTTGTATGAATACTGTATGGTGTTTTATAGTGCTGAGCATTGACGATTACTGTACCTGTGTTTACATTTTATCCTGGTCGCCAGTGTGGCGTTTCATGGTGCTGTGACTGACGACAGGTGTAAGCGGGATATAAAGCCATTGCCAATGAATGGCACAGGACCTATGCTATTTGCTGACGATACTACCTTCATCTATTCTGACCCCCAAGCCCCACACTCTAAATAATATCGTTAGTAACGAATTAAAAAAGTCCACTCAAGGATGTCAACAAACAAACTCACACTAAACATAGAAAAGACTTACTACATTTTATTTGGTAGTAAATCTTCAAATCAAATTAAACTTCAGATAGACACTGTTAATATTATCAATAAAAATGAGAGAAAGTTTCTTGGTCTATACATAAGACAAGATACCGAACTTCAGCACCCACATACAACACATAGTCAAAAAGTCTTAAAAACGGTAGGTAGACTTACTAAAATCAGATATTATTTTTCCCACTCTGCTCTCCTCTCCTTATACTACACGCTAATCTATCCCTACCTTACATACGATATCTGTGCATGGGGGTTCAACCACTGCAAACTACCTCGATTATCAAGCCAATCATCACTCGGCAAAAATCTGCTATCAGAACTATAGCAAACTATCTTCAGACAATACACAGCCCCTCAGTTCAAGTTCTTAATTAACATGCTAAACATACACTTACTCCACATATTCTCATGTGCTATTTACATGTACAAAACCTTATTCCTAAATGCTCATCTTGATTTTAAACATTTCCTTCATTGTAATAGAACCCGTGAACACTACACCAGAAATAAATATATAATGTACTACCAACTTTCCCAATATTAGTACTAAAGACATATATCCTTAAAAGTGTAATAATTTCTTGTCAACTTATATTGTAGTTATCTGTTGCTACAAAACCTTGCTCCAATGTACCTAGCTTTCTGACATGTTAAGATTAAAGACGTGTTAGTGACTTTCCAAGAATGTAAAAATATTACTCTAATGTAATCTCACAACCCATTGTATCTTGTGAATAAATTATTAGTTGTTGTTGATTTAGGGGCGACAATAAATTATTAGTTTTATTATTTGCAGATCAAACGTGGCGCGCGTCCCCTTGTTGTTTACACCCACTTACAGGATATACCCACCTGGGTAAAGCCTGTCCGAAACGCTGCGCGTACTAGTGGCTTTACAAGAATGTAATTACTATGCTATGTATCCTCACAATCCTAATGTACCTTCTTGTATATATATAAATAAATAAATAAATACACTGATACCGTAATAATTTGTCTGACATTGCTCACAACTAAAGCAAGCTCTCATTTTATCATTTTATTAATTCTGATAGAATTTACCTACTTAAAATTATCTGTTAGATTAAGGACCTGCCCGAAACGCTGCGCGTACTAGTGGCTTTACAAGAATGTAAATACCATGCTAAGCATCCTCACAAACCCAATGTACCTTCGTGTATATAACTAAATAAAATCAAAATAAAATAAAATAACCGTCGAGTAGACGTCGCTGTGTTCAGCGTATGTGCCTGCGTATCGGAAAGTCTCATATACAACGTCCGATTTTTAGGAACATAACAAAACATTCAAGTCATAGATGTGCGAGTCATCTGTGAGAGCCGTCCACGGTACATGGTAGTGGCGGTCACAAAGGAGTATACACGTGAGAAATAGGAAGACCCAGCGAAACCATGGGAAGGTTTATCAGGCTCTTCGTTCGTACCAAGTTTCAATGGAATTGCTCGAAACGCTATGCGTACTAGTGGCTTTAGGTATTGTATGTACTTCCTCTATCTTTAAATCAAACAGAATGTTTGTACTGTAACTCTGCAACTATGCATGTACTTTTCCTAAATAAATTATTATTATTATTATTACTTATAGACTTTAGAGTCACATCAAGTCAGTTATCACCAAGAGACACTTGGTGCCTGGGGTAAAAGTGCTGCTAGTTTTTTGAAGGAGTTGAGGTCCAAGGTAATTGAAACAACTAAAGACCCCTAGAGCTGCCAGTTTTCTCTTTCAGCGCCTCAGTGTGGCGATCCAGAGAGGAAATGCTCACTGCATCCATGGTTCCTGCCCGCCATCTGAGGAGCTGGAGGAGCTCTACAACTTGTGACAAGTAGCCTTGTATCCTGCATGTAACCAATGTTTTATCCCTTTTTGAGTAATGAAATTTTCAAATGAAGTTAGATATATATATACACACATACTAAAAGAAAGATTAGGGGTGGTAGGAGAAGAAAATAAGAAAATATCAGTGTGTTCAGTGAGGATCCACAAGGTCTTCTCTGAGTGCTCTTTATTTTCTTCTCCGAGGCTATGGGTCTCTACACTTGCACCAAAGGTGGTACCCCTTCTAGGTTTATATTATATATATATATGTCGTACCTAGTAGCCAGAACTCACTTCTCAGCCTACTATGCAAGGCCCGATTTGCCTAATAAGCCAAGTTTTCCTGAATCAATATATTTTCTCTAATTTTGTTCTTATGAAATGATAAAGCTACCCATTTCAATATGAATGAGGTCAATTTTTTTTTATTGGAGTTAAAATTAACGTAGATATATGACCGAACCTAACCAACCCTACCTAACCTAACCTAACCTATCTTTATAGGTTAGGTTTGGTTAGGTAGCCGAAAAAGTTAGGTTAGGTTTGGTTAGGTAGGTTAGGTAGTCGAAAAAACATTAATTCATGAAAACTTGGCTTATTAGGCAAATCGGGCCTTGCATAGTAGGCTGAGAAGTGCGTTCTGGCTACTAGGTACGACATATATATATATATATATATATATATATATATATATATATATATATATATATATATATATATATATATATATATATATATATATATATTTTTTTCCTGGGTACATGTGAGCACATGTACCCAGGAACCCAGATGATGAACTGTAACAAGAACAAAACTAAAATATTAATACAATTAATTCATTGTATAAGATCTTCCATCCGTCTCTGGAGCGGGAACTAGTTTTTGAGGCAATATACCCCTGGCAAGACTAACGAGGTGCCGTTGTAGTCTTCTGTGCATACGAATTAGCACAGATTTGTTACCAAGCTCCTTTTAAAACACTATGGTCAAGGGAATATATATGAGCAGCAATTATTGAAAGTGGGTTGTGAGGTGGGCTCTGGGAAGTGCAGCGAGGAGAACAGGGCTCCCGCACGCCACCGCCGCCGGAAGAGCCGATGAACCACTGTTCGTTAACGGCCGATGGCACATCACACAACTGTTACCTGACAGTTACCGAGGCAGATATAACAGGGTGCATGAGTCAGGTTTGTGCTAGCATTATAGCGAGGTACACGGTTTACTCCAAACTGCATGTCACCGTGTAGGAGTCTCATGCACCTTCCAATAGCCATACAGTTATGTCCAACCGCCAGAGGAACCCATTCTCCACCACAACACATTATTTCGCAATGTGCAGGGCCTCGATAATTTAAAATTATCAAAACATTTTTACTCCATTATTCTAAAAAGACTAATTATTTTTTAAGCTTAACAAGCGCTATGAACAGCACATTATTGTCTCATCGTCTGCATATGAACAGCAATTCTTCCTACTACAGACATATTAATATATGGGTCACAGAAATGTCCTGGATTATTGTAAATTATTCTTATAGTGTATGTGCTTCTAGTTATGAAACGATAGAACACATTCAGGCCCATCTTTCATGTTAAATTTAAGCTTGAACGCGTCTATGCTCTGCGATATTGAGCACAGCAAGGCACCCAAAACATAGCTGGGTGAGCCAGTGTTACATCAAATAAACAGCTTTGATGAAGGCGTCAAACAGTGAAGCTAAATACCCCATGATTCTATACCACAGTGTGTACGATGGAACCTGATGGTTGGCAAGACCTGATGGTTGGCAAGACAGGCGACTGCTGCACATCACCAAGGATCAACACTACTGGACATACTGAAGTGAACTTCAGGTTCACTAATCATCACGGGAGACATCTCCCGTCATGCAGGGTGCAGTCGCACCTCCACAGATCTCCAGTATCAGCTCTTGATACTGGTAATGGCTCAAGAGGGCCACCACTTACGGGTTATTCATGCCCGTGCCACCTTTAGGGTGGCTTAATCTTCATCAATCAATCAATCACTAATCATTAATGCGAGCTCTTTGGGGGATGCTAGTGAATACTTCTACATTAAATTAACTAATCAACATCCCCTTTCTTCACAAAATCATCCTAATCCCCCCCCTACTTCCTCCTCCCTCTCAAATACCAGCATTATCCTCACTTTAATAAGACTATCAAAATCCTCAGATTAGGCAAAATTGTAATTAATTTTGTCAATAAAGATGTTAATAATAAAATAATCCTACTTCTCACAATTAAGTCCTTTCCCCCTACTCCCGCTAACTTTCCAGAATCACACGGTCCCATTATTCCCACTCAAGTATAATTAACTTCCTATTCAATCTGTTCTGTTAAACTTTTATTTTGTTACTGTTTCTGAATAAATTTCGTCTGAAAAAATGTCTGCTTGTGCCCCAGACCACTAGAGACGTTTACCACGTTTTGAGTGAAAAAAAGCATCTGTTTTCCGTCCTACATTGTGGTTCGAGTTCGAAGCCGTTGCTTCTTGTAGCTGTT